AATCTTCTCCTAGATTAAGGAACTAACGTGTGTGAAACGGATAATCCACGTGGTTAACGAGTGAAGACTGATAACGTCAAAGTTAAACACCCATCGAAAATGATATACCATAATTACAAGAATTAAAAAAATTAGACATACCCGATCTTATTTTAAAAATTATTTTCACGAGTTAAACCCTCCGTGCCCATAAAACTCAATTGAGGATGATCCATGAAAATCAAATCAGTACCATCGCAGGGTTTTTCGTGTTGATTCGGGGTGGGTGGAGAGATATAAACCATATGATTTTCATTACAATACTGAAATGAGTATCATTATTTATTTTTCAACTAATAAAAATATACCACGTGTAAAATTTTTATATTATTTTTTCGGCCAATGGGATCAAATCAACTGAGATTAATAGATATACAATACCAAAGTCAGTACCGTAGTCTTGGATCATACTTGAAACTCGCCCTTTCCCTCTTCATCATCTGGAATTAATGGTTAACATGGAGTGCAGAACATCGACAAACTAATGGAGATCCAATCAATAGAAATGGTGTTAAGCCTTAACTACAAAATTTGGCTCAACTACTGAAGCTAAGGTCTGAGATCAAGCATTCTGATAAAGAAGCTGAACAATTATATAGGTAAAAAGGCAGAAAAAAGCTTACACATAATGGAGCATAAACCATCTTTCCTTATAACAAGAGTTGTCATAATTCACCTTTCATTGTCTATTTCATCTTTTTTTTCCTATGAAAATAAGTCTCCAGGTACACACTTTAAATATTCAGTTTGTTAAACAATCTAATGAAAGAGAAATACAAGAGATAAGAAAAGAGGACGCTAAAGTTTTATTGATATTGCATAATTTAATTGAATATAAAGAAGTGATTTAACTTAAATACAAAGAGATTATATATAGACTAAACAAAGGAAAAGTAAATGACTATTCTATCCTTAATAAACAAAATAACCCTATATTTCTTAACAACTCCCCTCAAACTCACGATGCGGCAGCTACAAGCATCGAGAGTTTGTCAATTAGAAAACGAAAACGAGAAATAGAATGCGACTTAGTAAAGAAATCTGCAATCTGCAAAAAAGAAGAAACAAGAGGCAAAGTAATGGTGTCATGTTTGAGATGATGACGAGTAAGGTGACAATCGATCTTAATGTGCTTAGTTCGTTCATGAAAAATTGAGTTGTGAGCAATTTGAATAGAATTTTGGTTGTCATAATACATAAGAGTGGGATGAGAAAGAGTAACTCTCATATCTACAAGTAACCAACGTAACCAAACAATATCTTTGGTAGTAGGTGTCATAGCACGATATTCTGCTCTGGTTGAAGATTGAGAAACAATAGATTGTTTATTGCTCTTCCAAGAAATAAGAAAATCACCAAAAAAGATACAGAAACCAGTAACAGACTTACGATCTGTGGGATCACTGTTATGATTAGCATCAGAGTATGCACACAGCTCCAAGGAAAAAGTGGATGGAAGTAAAAGACTTTGAAAGACTATACCTCGAAGATACCACAAAATACGAAAAACAGCTGTCCAATGAACTGTAGTAGGAGAAACAACAAACTGACTAACAACATGAACAACATTTGCAATATTTGGACGAGTAATAGTGAGATATACCAAGCTCCCAACAATAGTACGGTATAAAATAAGATCTGACAAAGGTAAATCATCAGAAGAAGAATACTTTGCGTTAACCTCAATGGGAGTATCTACAGTCTTATTATCAGTAAGTCTAGCTCGCTCAAGAATATCTGTAACATATTTCGACTGAGAAAGAAGATAACCTCCGGGTGAATAGGCTACCTCAATATCCAAGAAATATCGTAGAGAACTCAAATCTTTCATTTCAAACTGTCTAGCTAACTCTGTCTTTAAAACTGAAATACCATAAATATCATCGCTAGTAATAATCATGTCATCAACATATAAAGACAAAATGATACGACCTGCATCAGTGCACTTAACAAAAAGAGCAGAATCATGACTACTAGAAGCAAATCTAAGGGAAGAGATCACAACAGAAAATTTCTCAAACCAAGCACGAGGTACTTGTTTGAGACCATATAACGTTTTATTGAGCTTGCAAACATACCCAAAATCAAGTGAAATACCAGGAAGGGGCGCCATATAAACTTCTTCTTGAAGATCTTCATTCAAGAATGCATTTTTAACATCAAGTTGAGAGATATGCCACTGACGAACCGAAACAACTGCAATAAGAGTACGAATAATAGTCATTTTTGCAACAGGAACAAATGTCTCCTCATAATCCATACCATATTGTTGAGAGTNAATAGTCATTTTTGCAACAAGAACAAATGTCTCCTCATAATCCATACCATATTGTTGAGAGTACCCTTTTGCAACCAACCTAGCTTTGTATCGTTCAACAGATCCATCAGAATTAGTCTTGATCTTATACACCCAACGACAACCAACAACACTCTTACCAGGAGGTAAAGAAACCAAATCTCAAATACCTGTCTTATGCAAAGCAGAAAGTTCCTCATCCATAGCTTGCTGCCAAAGAAGATCAAGAATTGCCACTTTATAGGAAGAGGGCTCAGAGAGACAATGAATAGAAGCTAAAAAAGAAGTAAAAGATGAAGAATAACAAGAATAAACAAAATCTGATAACTTTGTGGACTTACGAATGCGTATGGATTGACGTAGAGATGGATCCACAATCTCAGATGGAGCTTGAGGGACCATAGGAGAAGAGGTAGCTTCAGGTGTGCTAGAGAGTAAAGTGTCAGTACCTGTAGTATGATCAGTACAAATTGGTCGAGAGTATAATGTAAAGGTAACGGGGTAAGAACATGAGAAGGGGTATTCGAAGTATTAGAAACTTGAAATGACAAACTATCAGAATCCTCAGAAAAAGGATCCATACGAATAAGATCAGATCTAGTCAAACTATGAGTAGTGGATGAAATAGAAAAGAAAGGTATATGCTCAAGAAAAACAACATGACGAGACACATAAAGTTTCTGAATTATTGGATCAAAACAACAATACCCCTTTTTACCTTCACCATAACCAAGAAAGACACAAATAGCAGATCGAGAGAATAGCTTGCTGCGTTCAACATGAGGACGAAGAACGAAACAAGTACAACCAAAAATTCTAAAGGAAAAATAATCAGGGACATACCCATACAACTTTTCAAAAGGAGAAACATCTGAAATATGAGAAGATGAAATTGTATTAATCAAACCTACAGTAGTAAGAATAGCTTCACCCCAAAACACACTAGGAACAGAAGTAGACAACAAGAGAGAACGAGCAGTTTCAACAATGTGCCAATGTTTTCTTTCAGCAACACCATTTTGCTCAGGAGTATCTGTACACGAAGTTTGGTGAATAGTTCCATCTAAGGCAAACAACTCATCAAATTTATTGGAAGTGTATTCCCCACCCAAATCACACCTAAAACATTTGATAACAACAGAATGTTGAGTTTTGACAAGATCTCGAAAAGTTGTATATATCTCAAAGAATTCAAAACGATGTTTCATTAAATAAATTCAACAAAAACGAGTATAATCATCAATAAAAGAAACATAATATCGAAATCCTCCTTTTGTGGCAACAGGAGAAGGTCCCCATACATCAGAATGAATCAAATCAAATGGAGAAGAAGAAACAAAAATACTTCAATTAAAAGGTAAAACTGAAAATTTTGCTAGTTTACATCCACTACAATCAGAAATATCACAAGTTTGCAAATTTCCTAAAGCCCCTGTGGATGCCAAAAATCTCAAACGAGAAGACGAAACATAACCTAGACGAGAATGTCATAAATAAAAACTAGAAGAAGAAAGACTCAAACGAAAAGAAGATAAATCAACACTAGTAGCAAAAGCAGTAGCAACAACAACTGGCACTTTTAACTTATCCAAAATATATAGTCCCCCCTTCCTACAGCCTATCTCAATCAGCTTCTGAGACTGCAAATCTTGCATATAACAAGAAGAAGAGGAAAAGGTGACTAAATTACCAGAATCACATAACTGACCAACAGAAGCAAGATTTAATGTGAGTTTTAAAATATGATAAACATTAGGGAGAGACAAGTGAGGTGTAACAACAGAACCAACACCTGCTAAAGGCATAGGAGTGCCATCAGCAGTCATAACAGAAATAGAAGATGAAGGAGACACAGAACTAAAAGATGAAGAATCTGGAGATATATGATGTGAAGCACCAGAATTCAAGACCCATACAGAATGTGACATACCTGAAGAACTATGAGGCAACTGACCTACGGAAGAAGAAACAGACATTGCTTGTGGCTGTAAGAAGAGAAACTTCTGAAATTGTTCAGCCAAAGTACTATAATCGGTGAAAGGACTTGATGAAGCCTCTGCTGCAGTATTAGACTGTGGTGGTTTGTAACCCTGAGGTGGTTTATAAGCATTAGATTGTGACTGGTTGCCAGGCTTCCAAGCTTGAGATTGCTGCTGCGATTGATTCTGTTGTCTTAACTTAAGACATTGAGTCTTCCAATGACTTTTCTGTTTACAAAAACTACACTCGTCGAAGGCAGTCCTTGTGTAAGGCTTATTCTGATTATTAGAAAATGGTTTAGAAGATATTGCTAGCATAGAAGGATTAGAAATAGAAAGAATTCCCTTTTTAGAATTAGACTTAAGGCGTATTTCTTCAACCAATAACTCACTGACAACTGAGTCAACAAAAGAAAGTGGAGAATGATGCAAAATTGAACCTCTAAATTCTTCAAAATCACTACGAAGTGCCGTTAAAAACTGTATCAACCGTTGTTGTTCTCTACGAGCAATATAGGCACCACATGCCTTTAATTTGGTCGATTCTGTAAGAATCAATTGATCCCAAAGATTTGTCATAGCAGAATAAAACTCCTGAATACTCATATTCCTCTGCTGAAAAGCTCGTATATCATTCTCCAATTGATACTGTTTTGCAAAATTTGATTGAGTGAATAACCTTTACAGATGATCTCAAACCTCTTTTGTTGTCTCATACTTTGTCAACTGTGTACCTATAGAATTCTCAACAGAGTTATTAATCCAAGTAATAATTTTTGTATTGTCTGCTTCCTAGGCATCTATCAAAGCAGCATAATCCGCATCAGTATTTTTAGGTTTCACAGAAATTCCACTAACATATCCCCATATCTTTTTACCCTCAAGAAAATTTCTCATCACATAACTTCAATACGAGTAATTATTTACATCCAACCTCACACTCACAAACTGAAGCGAATCGTCTTTTTCAGTAGCCATAATCAAAAAACAAAGAAAACCAGATTACAAAAACGGAACGAATACCTTCTCAAAAAAAAATTAAACCTTGTCCCATGAAACTTTGCTTTGATACCATGTTAAACAATCTAATAAAAGAGAAATACAAAAGATAAGAAAAGAGGAGGCTAGAGTTTTATTGATACTGCATAATTCAATTGAATACAAAGAAGTGATTTAACCAAAATACAAAGAGATTATATATAGACTAAACAAAGGAAAAATAAAAGACTATTTTACCCTTAATAAACAAAATAACCCTATATTTCTTAACACAGTTTAGGTACATACACGTACGTGATCAAATGGATTGATAATTGCCACAAACAAGTCCTTGGATTATCGTTATCAACTCATAATGATGGAAATAAGTACCTTAGATCGACCCCTTTCAGTTACTCTCTTCAAGTCTCAATGTAAGAGTTGTCTTCGTTTTGTATCTCATTTCTGTTCAGCTCAGAGATCCCACCATTAGTCTCTTCTACACCTCCTGACTCTGATATTTTTGTGATCCTTTGCAACTCATCGGTTATATCTGAAGAACGGGCCAGTAACTGATCATCTGTCAATTCTTCTTTTTGAATTAATGATTTTTTTGGCTGTCGAATGGCTGCAGCTGCTTCTGGCATTACCACAGGAGGTGGCTGGGGAGGAACCCACGAGCGTTGAACTGGTCGGCCATTGGTTAGCACACTAGAAGACCCAGTCTTGTGTTCATCTTCACTTTCAATTTCTGTGATTCTGACATTTTTTCGTTGCCACCAAGGCACTGAACTGTCTCCATTCAACTGATTACCGAGTCCATTGTCCTGAAAAATGGAGTCCAAGCCATCACTACTTTCTTGAGAATGAAGCACATGGTTTGAGGTATTCTGAGCTAGACCGAACTCCCAAGGCTATTCGAGATAACAACAACAGTAATCAGTTTCATCTGGTGTCAATGCATTACAATGACAGCCTGTATCCCAATGAACCACTCAAATAAGATGAAAAGTACTCAGATGATCAGATTGCAGAACGCTACCATTTCTGGTTTGTGAAAGTCTCAAAATATTTTACCAAACTAGCATGTACTAAGTGTTAGTTCCCAAGTATGTCGGAGAATGGTATGCAACAATCAATAGTCACAATGGTTGGAGTGTTTGAACAGTCACATTACATAAGTACAGGTAAGCAGCAATTCAGTTCACTAAACTGCAACTGAGAACATGATAATAGTTTTACTATATTCAAAAACTAACTTGGCAGTGTCAGTGGAATCCCCTCTTAGCTAGGTGACACAGAACATACAACACTTCAAGACTGACATACATGCACATGCCTAGCATTTAAAGTCTAACGTGTACACATTTAACAAAAACATACATGATCCAATTTTAAAAATTTACTTTTCATAATTCATACACCTATAAATTGAATCGGTCCACATTTATCCATGAACTAATTGCACACAAAAATTGGAACATTGAGATGCAAGATAACTTGAGAAAGCCAACCTGAGGTCTGGGTGTTATGTGAGGAATAGACACTGGCTGATTAGNTTGAATCGGTCCACATTTATCCATGAACTAATTGCACACAAAAATTGGAACATTGAGATGCAAGATAACTCGAGAAAGCCAACCTGAGGTCTGGGTGTTATGTGAGGAATAGACACTGGCTGATTAGGATTGGATGGTAGATCATTGATCTTCTGAGATAAGAAAAAACAAAACAGGAAAATAAATGAACTAGAAAAGATCAGCAGTAAACCGCACAGTGTAGTCAAACTCAGAATAGATATGGGAAGAAATAGATTTACTCTAATGTTAGGAGGTCTCTCTCCTCTTTGAACCATTGCCACGCTCTGCAACATGATTCCAACATCAGAATATGAAAAGATTTCATGCTCCATTTTAAAGTAATTGAAAACTATAAATCTTGTAGAACAAGGATATCACAATGTATAAAACATGAAGAACATCAACACATCTTTCAGTAGTAAAATAACTTGAAAAAGATAATGAAACTCGATCTCAAGGTAGGCATTTGTCTAAGTTTCACACATTTTATTAGTTTCTTTTTGTATACCTGTAAACTAATATTCATGGTATCGGACTGTCAGAATGGCGGTGACTATGATCTAAACTCCCTACATATTTCCCATTCGGCATTCATAGTTTTTATTTTCTTCTTTTGGGGTTTTGGGAAAGGGGAGGGGAATTGCAGACTTTTGAATAAAAAGTATTGACTTCAAAGGAACGAACTAGGATTTCTTAAACCGAGTTGGAAAGGGTGTTTAGGAGGACAATGGAAGGGTTTGTGCAACTATATAGATCACCTGTAAATGACTACCTAGAAGATATAACGTACATTGGAAAGATTATATAAAACAGTTTTGAAGGATCTAATTGCATCGATCTCTATTTCTGAATGACAGTTGTGTGCTTTTTACCATCAAGTGAACCAAGATGTGAGAAAAAAGACTGCACTCATGAACAGACCAGCCATTAATGTTTCAAAAAAAAATTCTGGCCAATTGAGGGAGATGTTACCTCTGCATATGACTTTGGGTGAGGTGCAACAGAGGATTCCACAGTGGCAGGTGGAGATGAAGATCTCCCTGCATAGAACATTCCAATATATGAAATCGATATTCAAAGCATTTTAAAATAGTGGAGCAGCACTTCATCCCAGAACAATACCTGAACGCAAGTCAAAGTCCGCATTGCCATTTGCATATGATTGCTGGAAAATCGTTTGAATTAACTAAGGAACTCAATTTGAACACTTAACAACAGATCACAGCATGCCAGCTTCATATCATCTTTACAGATTAATAACCAAACTGAAATTATGCCTTTATCAAACTCACCCTTGAGACTGAGACTCTATGATCATCTTGTTCAGCAATAGATATTCTTCTAGGGGTATTACTTTGTCCTGATAATTAGACAAGAAATAAGATTAGAAAACGAATTCTCATCATTGAAAAACAAAACCGTTTTTAAGACTGGTAACAAAAAGCGGCAATAAGAATAAAAATAGAAAGGAAACCCAGTAATTTGATGTTTCTAAATTTCTGGCATGTAAATACAAACTATATGATGACTACAAAGACATGTCTAAATTTTGCTCATGCATAGGGAGTAATCATAAAAATGATAACTTTTGAGGGTGTGCCTTGGCTATTCTGACAGAGGCATCAAGGGTTTGAATCACGAAAACAGCCTCTCTGTGGAAAAAAGGTAGCCTATTTGCCAAGTCATTGCAGTCCAAGGCTGGTACAGTTCTGGTATTTTAGTTTGATCCTCACATCTTCTGTTCATGCACAAGGATCAAAATGTCGTGTCGACACGTCAGAAACGTCCGAAACGTTTCGGAATTTCAACACTCCGAAACGAAACAGTAGTTGAATNATATAAAAGGACAACTCGAACAGCATAAGGACTAGTGCAGTTAAATTTCCAAGCCTATCTACCTTAAGAAAGTATAGCCAATCTATCACACACTATTGTTTTAAGGTTTTTTCAGATACTCCCTGGTGTGTCTCAGAACCTTTCTACTAATGACCTAAATTCAAGCAATTGCTACAAACTAGCAGGGTTTTGCAGACCATTTTCTATGTTTTTATTTTCACTCGAGTTTTGAAAGTTCAGAAAAATCTTCTATAAGAGCAGTTCTCCAGCTGAAATTTGGCAAATTAGTGGTCATCAGTATGTATTTATTTTCACATAGCTTTGGACAGTCAACGGCTCAGCCTCTAATCACATAGCTAATAATAGTAAGGCAAGCCTTGTCTATCTAATTATAAGAAAACCTAGAGCACTTGGGCTTCAAGGGATGGGGAAAATTTGGAACCCTAACTCAGACCACGATGGAAAATTTATCCAAGGATCTAGAAGGAATACAATAGATGCTTTCTACAGCCAAGAACAACCTTTCACCCATTAAACAGTGGAAACCTATGATTAGAGTGTTAACAAGAGGGTATACATGAAAGATCCTTCTGTGTTACGCCATTCAATTCTCAATAATTGGCCACACCCCAAGTCAGTCCAGTGAGAAAACAGCTACATTTTAGAAGTTTGGACACCATATTACACGGATGTACGGGTGGACAAGAAAAGGCCTAACCTTGCTTTGGAATAAGTGAAATCGAACCTGCGATTCTCCTACTTGACACAAGACCCAACCATTTTATTAGTAAATCAAGCACTGAACCCTCAAGTCATCACCCATAAAGGAAAATAGAAAGAAAAATGCAGAAGATCGTCCAGCAGGAAACAATAGAGGGTGAGGGCTCAAAACATCAAGGTGCATCTACGCTAATAAAGTCTAAAAAATCTCCCTAATATAAGTACTTGAGAATGTGGTAGCACTACCCTTCAGACCAACAATATTCCTTTCTGTTAAGTGCTCAAAATAATCAACCCATTCTGGGGTCACAACCTCAACAATTATCTGTTAGGAAATTCCCTTCATGGTGGGACAATCAAAATTCCTAATCTGATGACACAGTAAAAACCCTACAAGTGGCCACTTTAGTTAGGCCTCCAAACCAATGTGGAATCCAGCTAAACAAGGACAGGTCATACATACAGATTTGCAGGAGCCAATAGAGAAAAACTGAACTTCTGTTCTCTCCGGGTTATCTACAGTTGGCAAAAAGCTGATATACAAAGAGAGCTAAGCCCCAATTGCATGAGTCAAACATTTGACGTAGAGCATCCTAATTGGAACTAGATGGGTATAAAGTGCAACAGAGAAATCACTAGATAAGTTTTGAAAATCATCTACAAACACGTGAAAATCTCACTTTGTATACAACATATGGTAGTCAATTGTTTTTCCTTCATGGTCAATATTCTAGTCAGCAAAAAGACTAGCAACGACTTGCATGATATAACCATTTCCAGCCTGGGAGTCGCTGAATCCATTGCATATGGACAATAGACAACAAATGGCCCATCGAAAGACGACCATGACACAAACATGGAGCAATCGAACAAGTTAAACAAAAAGAAAAACTGGAACGTATTAGAAATTGCTCTTTAGGATTAAAGACCACTGTTGTTAAATGTGTTGGGATTTAAAAACAATTTAAATCCACTAACAAACACACACAATCGAAGAACAAATCAAGAATATAAAGCAATAA